CAGTAATGTACACATTAATGATATTGATAGTCATTTTTACATCAATGCATACATTTATTGTATGAATTATATTAGCAATAACATCAACTGTGACATCGTGTTTTCTTTCTAAAATAGGCAAGCCAGTTATCTCTTCTCCTCCATCTTTCTCTCTCTTGTCTAACCTCACCTCCTTCCCTCCATCTTTTTCTCTTAATTTCACGTCCACGCGGTTTCCTCCAACTTTCGTCAATTGGACAAGAAATGGGATAGGGATAGAAATAGGAAGCACCTACCAAGAAATACAAGTATGGAGGAAGTGAGAGAGAGGGAGCTAATGATTGAGAGAGATGTTATACTATATATTTATTGTTTTGATTGCACTTGTATCGTGTTACTGCTAGAATTTAAGAGATGCTATCAGGACTACGTTTGATAACATTTTAATAATAAATGGCAGCTTCCTTCCCGGTAACTACACCTGCTCCATTAGCAATACTCAAGGATACACTGAAGCTTCTTTTGTAGTCAGAGGTACAATTAAATTGCATTCTTATTAATTTATTTATTAATTTATTTATCTACGTATGTATTTATTAATTTATTTATTTATATATTTGTTTGTTTGTTTATCTATTTTAGCTCCAGATAGTCCTCCGTCTAATCTCACTGCTAGCTTCTTAGGAGCAGGTGATGTGAGAGTATCATGGACCCCGCCCACTGGTGATATTGACGGATACCAGCTGTATTATCAGGAGTCTGGGGGGTCTGATGCAGGATTGATTAATATTACAGGAACCAATGAGAGTGCTGTGTTGAGGTCGTTAGTGGGTGGGGCTAGTTATAATATATATGTGATAGCGTATGCTCATATTCCAAGTGAGAGCAGCGAGACACTCACTATTACTCTCAATGGTAATTAATAACAATAAAATAATAATCTCAATATTTTATAATAACAGTTTATACAAGTACAGGAGTGTTAACCACAATGTAGTGCGACCCACAATAGCTTTTACAAATATCAGTGTATAAAAATGAGACTTTGAAGGCTTGAGTACTAGGACAGAATTGAAGAAGTTTAACAAATTTTTGGAATGGGGTCATCCCCTGCTAAGCATGTTCCTAATAAATAAATAATAAAATAAATAGTACACAGCCAAGAATTATCATGCTGATACAGTAGTACTGCCTAAAGTTAATGAATC